AACCGGGAGGGGGATAGAAAGGGGCGGCGGCGCAGCTCGCCCCACCTCAACTTGGAGGGCCTGTGAATGGCTCATGCTGGTGTATTAATGGTCCGTTCTAAACCGTAAAGGCATTACGTAAGCCTGTAAAATTCATGCTGACCTGTTGGGGTCTCATCCTGGTTGATTAAGAGTCTGTTCTGACTAAAAAGAGAGCAATTCTGAACGTGTAGAGAGCCCATTCTGACCTGAAGAGGCCAATTCTGATCTGTAGTTGGCCTATTATTTACTGCGGAAGACATGTTATGGCCTTCAGAGGGCCTATTCTTGCCTTTAAAGGACACATTCTGGCTTGAAGAGGACCATTATGACCTATAGAGACCATTATGACCGATTATGACCTGCACATGATCCAGTATGAAGTGCGGAGGGTCAATTTTGACCTGAATAGGACTCATTCCGGCCTGCAGAGGGCCCATTCTGACCTGAAGAAGACCTATTACCGAAAGCGGCGGGTCATTTTTGTCATGTACATGTGTCCATTCAGACTTGTAGAGTGTACCCGTAGAGTGTAGAGTGTACCTGAGCAGAACTGATGTCATCGCTTTATACAATGGACTGTGTCCTGGCAGGGTCCAGTTCGGGCCCCACTGCTATAAAGATCGGCCCAGCTGGGGCCCCGATAAATTGCTGACCGGGGACGTCGTCCCCAATTCTACCGTCTAAAGGCAAAACCCCACACGTTAATTTCTGGGCATTTTGCGTTTTTATGTCAGCTGATCCGTCTTCTCATGTTGAAGCCAGATGTTTAAACCAAAAGTCGAAATTTGCACAAGCTTTCAGCTAAAAGAATGGACTAAAGGGTTATGAAAATTTGAGCTTATGTTTTAAATCACCAAATTCAGCATGAGTAGACGAATCGGACGATATAAAAAACGCAAAACGGTCAAAAATTAACATATGGTGTTTTACCTTTGGACGGCAGATTTAACTATTCAGCCGTGCGGGCTTTCAAACGCGGCAATGGGAGCGGCAATGAATCAAGAATGGAAGCAGCTCTTTTGCAAGTCGTGCTGGCAAGGAATAGGGGCCCCATGCGCTTAAACAGATGGCAAGGGCAACGGAAGTTGTCCCAGTGGGGGGAGGGGCTGACATCCATTTCTGGTTATTTTCCAGTCAACACCCATGGGACCAATGCTATTTTTTTTAGAAAGTCGAAGGATCAGCCCCCTGCTCTACATCGCAGCCTCCCCTCCCCGTTCCCACGCCCCTGACGTTCAGAAACCCGAAGATAATGCAAACTGCACACAAATCTGTTGAAATTTGTAGGTTGCCTGCAATGTTGACGATTGTAGCATGGTTGGGGCTTTTTAGAATTAATGAATCATCAACAAAAATTAGCTGCACACTTCAAGGTTAACAGTCAAGCATTGAAATGTAACTTTTGTGAGATTTCTTTGATATGTTCTATTTGATCGGGTAGAGGCTTCAGGTTTACGGTGTGCAGAGCAGGGCTGTCTTTTAAAATATAAAAAACGAAAGGGAGATGACAGTTGTTCTTGGCAAGCAAAGTCGACTAGCTCCAAGGGAACTAGCCGAGTTTAGAGGGCCACGTAGCTGATGTATACATCACACAACACTTCTAGCTCTAGTGTTGTGTGATGGATACACTACACAATACTGCATGAGAGGTTGCTCAGGTGAAGAACAGGAATAATTATAAAAAGTTAGAAACAGTACCTGTGGAATGGCAGGGTATTTTCAAGTGCTCCGGAAATGTTAATTAAACGCTGCTTGAATGCATCTAAATGACATGATTGTCATTGAAATGGACAATGAAGGGTCACGGGGTACCTGATACTACGTGGATGACAAGTAAGACCCCTCCACCCACAGGGGCCAAGCCCCTGGAACCAAATCAAAACCAACTCATTACCAAAGCACTGAGCCTGCACGTTCTAGTGCTTGCCCTACCCTGCCATAAGCAAACAAACATAGGCAAGGAAACACTTGAAACATCAAAGAAGGGTTTATAAGAATTGCACGCTGGTCAGGATTTCTCTCCCCCCCCCCCTCGCCCCACAACTGGGTTTTGTATGCCGCTGGGAGCGATTAAATGTAAATGCTAATGCATCAATGGCGTGGCCCGACTAGCACGCTCTCTGACACCGGGCACTGCACACTTGACACGGAGCGCTGCACAGTATGTATTGAACACCAATTACTACCACTGGCCGGGATGTAAGTTTCCTATTCAGTTGGGGAGGAAAACTCTTACTTGGGTCCCAGCCCCCCCCCCCAACTTTGAAAAGAAAGTGGGACAAATACTGGGAGACAACTGGTATGTTGGTGTATTTTGGGGTTGGAATGTGATTTTTCACTGCTCAGCCCCCCCCCCCTCCCCTTTATACACACATTCATTCTTCGCCACTGACCACTGGACACCTGCCAAGCAACAACGGGATTCCATTAAAGAGAGTGGCCCGCCTTTGGGGCATATTCTAAAATAAGTAGTGGAACCTCCGGACCAGTTACGTCTGATAAATGCACTGGACAGTGTCGCTGCAGCACAGTCAAAACTTAATAAAGATATCTGTCTCAATTACTTTTAGTCCGAATTACGCTGCCAACGCTTCCTAACGGCATTACGCCTCTTCCCTGCATTTGTCGCGACCACCGTCGTCGTGACGACCGCCATGACGCTTCCACTGGTGCAAATATAAGAACGTTTGTGATTGGCCCGGCGGGCGGAAAGGGCCTGCTACTGAGGAGCGCATTAGTTGAAGTTTGAACCAGTGCGTCACTTTGAACCATGTGATACTCCCACTCCCAAATCCAAACTGTGCCTCGAAAAGAGCCGGGGTGGTGAACGTCACAGGGAAAAACCAAACACGTGGCATAACGCTTCGTTGAATTGGTGTGAGAAGAGCTTCGTGTTCATGTATATTTTGGTGTGAACAGAGTGTTTCATGCTTCGTACCATTTCATTTCACAAACATTCTGACAAATAATTGTGCTGCAAACAGTAAAGAAGGCATACGCTGGAAAAAGCGAGTCAAATAAAAGGTGTTACTTTCATAGCCGTGAGCAAGGAGTTCAATGAGATTTTTCCCGCAGGAGCGGCTGCTCTGAATCGGAATTCTGAACTATCCAGAAGGACTCCGAGAAAACTGGTAACACTGGTGAAATTTTACGCGTCTCATCTAATAATAAGTAATGAGTAAAAAACCGTATTCCTCCTTTGATATCATTGGTAAATGTACGGCATAGATTACGCCAGGTCCGTAGAAGTCTCCGGAACACCAGAACTGTGAATTTTCCCATTTAGCCATATTTCAGACTGCAGATGATACTTTTCTACGAATATGTAATTTCCGATTACTGCCGGCGTAATGAAAATGTGCAAACAAAGTATCGTCGAAGCATTAAAATGGCTTTGCTACAATTATGCATTGAAATTGACTCGAAAGATCGCTAAGTAAGTAACGATGTCAAACTTAGTATGTATTGGTATAAATCCTGCTGCGCAACCAGTAGTTATAGGGCCTTGCTTCAGAGCTGAACAGACGCCTGCTCTTTCCTCCGCCGAGGTAGCTTTGCAATGCTCAACCATTTCTCACGGAATATGTACTTTTCTAACGGCACTTGGCAGATTTATCACTGACAGGTTCACGTTCTCCTTTTGCGGGCGAAGCATTGTGCTCGCCGATGCTGCCGGTATCATTCAAGCAAACTACTGCAATCATTCTGACGTGTACTCACGACCTCGTGTTAGAAGAGAGAGAGAGAGAGAGAGAGAGAGAGAGAGAGAGAGAGAGAGAGAGAGAGAGAGAGAGAGAGGAGAGAGAGAGAGAGAGAGAGAGAGAAGAGGAGAGAGAGAGAGAGAGAGAGAAGAGGAGAGAGAAGAGAGAGAGAGAGAGAGAGAGAGAAGGGAGAGAGAGAGAGAGAGAGAGAGAAGAGGAGAGAGAG